GAGGTTACGTTTAGGATTAGACCTAGGGTTAGGTTTAAATTTATGGTTAGTGTTAGGGAGATGGTTAGGGTTAGGATTAGACCTAGGGTTATGGTTATGTTGAGGGCTAGGGTTAGAGAGATGGTTAGGGTTAGGATTAGACCTAGGGTTAGGGTTATGTTGAGGGCTACATTTAGAGAGATGGTTAGTATTAGGATTAGACCTAGGGTTAGAGTTATGTTGAGGGCTAGGGTTAGAGAGATGATTAGAGTTAGGATTACACCTAGGGTTTGGGTTATGTTGAGGGCTAGGGTTGGAGTGATGATTAGGGTTAGGATTAGTCCTAGGGTTAGGGTTATGTTGAGGGCTAGGGTTAGGGAGATGGTTAGGGTTAGGATTAGACCTAGAGTTAGAGTTATGTTGAGGGCTACATTTGGGCAAATTGTTAAGTTTAGGATTCGATCTAGGGTTAGCATTATGTTGAGGTCTAGGGTTCGGAGGATGGTTAGGGTTAGCATTAGACCTACTGTTTGCGTTATGTTGAGGGCTAGGTTTAGGAGGATGGTTAGGGTTAGCATTAGACCTAGGGTTAGGGTTATGTTGAGGGCTAGGGTTAGGGAGATAGTTAGGGTTAGGATTAGACCTAGGGTTAGGGTTATGTTGAGGGTTAGTGTTACGCATATGGTTATAGTTAAAATTAGACCTAGGGTTCGCATTATTTTGAGGGTTAGGGTTAGGAAGATGGTTACTGTTAGGATTAGACCTAGGGTTGGTGATATGTTGAGGGTTATTGTTTGGGAGATGGTTAGGGCTAGGTTTAGACCTAGGGTTAGGGTTATGTTGAGGGGTAGGGTTACAGATATGGTTAGTGTTAGGATTATAGCTAAGGTTAGGGTTAGGTTAGGGTTAGGGTTAGGGAGATGGTTAGGGTTAGGATTAGACCTAGCCTTAGGGTTATTTTGAGGGTTAGGGTTACAGATATGGTTCGGGTTAGGATTAGACCAAGAGTTAGTGTTAGGTTTAGGTTTTGGTTTGGGGAGTTGGTTTGGATTAGGATTAGACCTAGGGTTTGGGTTATGTTGAGGGTTAGGGTTAAGGAGATGATTATAGTTAAAATTAGACCTAGTGTTAGGGTTATGTTGAGGGTTAGGGTAAGGGAGATGGTTAAGGTCAGAATTAGACCTAGGATTAGGGTTGAGGGTTGGTTGCGGATATGATTAGGGTTAGGATTAGACCTAGGGTTAGGGTAAGGTTTTGGTTTAGGGTTAGGCAGATGGTTATAGTTAGCATTAGACCTAGGGTTAGGGTTAGGTTTATGGTTAGGGTTAGGGTAATGCTCAATTAAAATTAGACCTAGGTTTAGGGTTATGTTGAGGGTTACAGTTAGGTAGACGGTTACTGTTAGGATTACACCTAGAATTAGGGTTAGATTTAGCGTTAGGATTAGGAAGAGGTTACGTTTAGGATTAGACCTAGGGTTAGGTTTAAGTTTACGGTTATCGTTAGGGAGATGGTTAGGGTTAGGATTAGTCCTAGGGTTAGGGTTAGGTTTAGGGTTTGGGTTAAGGAGATTGTTACTGTTAAGATTAGTCCTATTTCAAGGGTTAGGTTGAGCGTTAGGGCTAGGGAGATGGTTAGTGTTAGAATTAGACCTAGGGTTAGGGTTTTCTTGAGGGTCAGGGTTAGGGAGATATTTACTGTTAGGATTATACCTAGGGTTAGGTTTATGTTGAGGGTTAGGGTTAAAAAAAAAAAAAAAAAGTAAATATTTCCACACCCATGTTTCCAGCACCATTACTGACAGTATCCAAAAGGTAGAAACAACTCGTATGTCCACCAGCAGATGAGTGGAGAAGCAGAATGTGGTCTCTCCACACAATGGATGGTACTTATCCTCAAGAAGGAAATTCTGACACAGGCTACAACACAGATGAACCTTGAATACGGTATGCAGAGTGAAATAAGTCAGTCACAAAAGGAAATATCCTAACTCCACTTACATGAGGTACCTCGACTGGACAAATTCATAGAGACGAAAAGCAGAATGGCAACTGCCTAGGAGCCAGGGAAGGAAAACAAAGCTACTGCTTAGTGGGGGGTGTCAGCTGGGGAAGGTGAAAAGGCTCTAGGAATGGGTGACCATGACTGTTGTGTCATGCGAATGTACTCAATGCTGCTGAACTATACACTAAAAGTGGTTAAAATGGTAAATTTTTTATTTTCACACACACACACACACACACACACACACACACACACACAGAAAACATCATAAAGCCTGACGTTAACATTTGCAGAATCTGGGTGAAGGTATATGGGAGCTCTTTGTACAGTTTTTATAACTTCATTGTGTGAAGTAGTTTTAAAAAATTAATCTGTTGCCCAGCCAGGCGTGGCTCAGTGGTTGAGCACTGATCTAGGACCCAGGAGATCCCAGTTCCATTCCTGATCAGGTCACATGCCAGGGTTGTGGGCTCCATCCGCAGTCTGGGGCATGCAGGAGGCAGCTGATCAATGACTCTTTCATCATCAATGTTCCTTTCTCTCACCCTCTCCCCTCCTCTCTCTGAAATCAATAAAGTTGTTTTTTTAATTAATCTGTCCAAAACAGAATTCCTGCTCCTTCCATAGCAGACACCTCTGAGAAAATGGCAGCTCTCCTCCTCCACTTGCTCAGACCAAAGCCCTTGGAGTCATCTGTGACTCTTTCACACACCTTACAGTCCACACGCACACCCTGTTGGAGGTAACTTCAAAACACTTCTCCCCTCCTCCACTGCTCCACACCAGTCTGAACACATCTCTGGTGGAGGAGCTCCTCACTGAGTCTCCCCACTTTGGCTCAAATGTGTGCTGGTCCAGTCCATTTTCAACACAACACCCAGAGGGATTCAGCGGAAACATAAGCCACATCATGTCATTCTTCTGCTCAGAACTCTGATGTCTTAATGTGGCCTCTAAGAAGCCCTGGGGTAGGTCCTTGCTGCGTCTGAGCCCTCATCTCCCACCCCTCTCCCCTCACTCCCTCCCCACAGTCACACTGTCCTCCTGCTGCCCCTTGGCATGAGCAGGGCAAGTTTCGAGGACAGGGCTTCTGACCCGCTCACTGGGCTGGCTTTCTTTCAGGTCTCCCAGATGTCACCCCCCAGCCCCTATTCCTCCCTCCTCACCCTGTTTTATTCCCCTCCGAGGTACTTATTTGTACCCTCCAAACCATGCAGCTACTTGTTTTTTCCCTGCACGAGAACAAACGCTTCCCGAGCACGTGGACTTGACTCCGTCTCTTTCCCCAGCACCCAGCACAGCGGGCAGGCGTGCCCGTCACTACTTGCAGAGTAACTGGGTGTGGGAAAGTTCCCCTGGAACGTCTGTGTCTGCGAGAGGGGCCGGGAGAGAAAGCCAGGCCAGGCCGGCGTCCAGACAGGGGCTAAGGGGTCAAAATGATGCACAGGCCGTGACGCTCGACTGGGAGTCGCCCCGTGAGGATGTGCCGGTGGTCCCCGAGCCCCTGCCCCTCGCGCTGGCTCGGAGGTGCTACCAGGCTCTTTTGGGCTGCTCCCCCACCGAACCTCACCACTGCTGTCCCCCTTTACAGGTGGGCTGTCACCAGCGTGGTCCTACCTAACCCCGAGGGCGCCCCACACCCACACCGGCAGGGGCCTGAGTGGTGGCCCTTCTCAGGGGGACAGCGCGTCCTCTCCAAAGCGCCTCTTCTCTGGGATAGAAAACAGCCATACTTGGTCTGGCGGAAGGAGCCCTCCCACCCTCGCCCTCCTCTCCCCTC